TGTCTCGTCTCTGAGGCCCTGTGATGGACTTGCGACCTGTCCAGGGTGTACCACGCCCCTCGCACAATGATTGCCGGACATGGCCACCGGCGACCCCCGTGACCCAAAATGGAAGAAGCAGGTAAAGAAAATGGATGGATGGACTAACATTAATATGAGTTGTTCAAACCGTTTATACAGATAAAAGAAAAATGATTCAAAATACTTCACTGTGATATTTTCACTTGTATCAACTACAGATCAAATATATCTTTGTTGACATCACCTATAACATAAGCTGTTAAATGCTGAGATGTGTCTGCCATGTATTGCTCCTGTGGGGTTTGGGCGGGTGCAGTGTGGTGGGTTGGTATATTATGCTGGTGGTGAGTATATGTGGGGGGCTGGTGAGAGGATGCAGTGTGGTGGGTAGTTGGTATATTGTGCTGGTGGTGAGTATATGTGGGGGGCTGGTGAGAGGATGCAGTGGGCCACAATGGGGGCCTGACTGGAGTAGGAGGCATCCATTGCTGTGTGGTAGGTGGTGTCACGGATTGGGGCATTGCAGCATGAAGAAACGTCGACATCATCTGAAAGAACATCTGGCTGTTGGCCCTCTGCTGCTCTTGTATCAACTGGAAATGCCTTTCTTCAGCTTGCTGCTGCATTTTTAAGAAGTTCTCAAAAGACGCAGACTCCTGCTTCATTCTTCTGCATTCATCCTCTTCCCTTTTTCTCTGATCATCCATGTAGCTCTCAAACAATTTCTCAAACCTGTCAGCCTTTGTCTTTGTCTTTTTCTTTCTTTTCTGAGCCCCAGGTACAGCCAGCCTTGGTTGGTCCCTTTCTTCATCCTGCAGGGAGCTTGTGGTGGCTGCCTCTTCAACTTCAAGAAAGTCGGTGGCACTTTTATCTGCATGATTAAAATGTTACATACACGTCACGACAGTTTTACACTAGAATTATCCATACTGACTTATCTATTTATAATAAACTGGGGCAAATAAACACAAACTGGCAAGATGTAACTGCTCATTTTATAATGAAGCATAATGTCAATATTAAAATAGTTCTGCTCAAGCATTATTGCATAGTATAGTCACCCACTTACCACTTTTTTCTGAGTCCTGACCCTGCTCTGTGGATTCGGAGTCGCTCGGTGCCAGGGTGGATGGCGGCTGAGTCTCTGCTTGGTACCATGCTGCTCGTGGGTTGAGTGCCAAGAACAACATCTAGTTCATCGTACCAAGGAAACTTGTCCTTCGCGTCTCCTGAATTGCCACTTTTCTTGAGCATGTCTCGTATTTTAATGTATTGTTGGCAACGTTTTTTTTTACCTTGTTGCAACACTGTTCAACTGTGCGCGGGAATCCCAACTTCTCCATTTTCAAACTAATTAGCCTGTAAACCTCGTTGTTCTTGCGAGTTGTAACAAGTAACTGCAAAATATTTTTATCTGGCCATACTTGTATGAGGGCCTTTATCTCCTCGTCACTCCACGTCTGACCACGAGCAATTTTCTCCCGTTAATGTTAACGTGCGTTTGTTTTGGTTGTATTTACCCAGAATGCCCTGCTTTGTAGTCCACTTCCTGTTCTCGTTGTAGTTCCACTTCCTGTTGGGGGACTGGTGCCCGATCCGCTTGCATTCACACTGTACTCGAACCGCGCTAGAGTTTTCTTCTACCGGACCGAGACCTAAGTTTTTAGACAGGCCAGAGTTCACCTTTTTGTTCCATGACAGAGTTCGATGGCACGTTCACACCTCCCCAAACGAACTGGACTTCCTAGGCAAACGGGTTAGAATTCGGGACAACAGGGCTGGTGTGAATGCACCCTAAAAACCTAGGTCTTGGTCCAGTAGAAGAAAACTCTAGCATGGTTCGAGTACAGTGTGAATGCAAGCAGACCGGGCACCGCTCCGCAAACAGGAAGTGGACTACAGCGTAGGGCAAACAAACACGCATTTCTCTTACCTCATTTGGAGCAGTCAGCTTGCCTTGTGTGATAAACAACATTCTCCATGGTCTTCTGCCTCATCTTCCACTCATGCTAAGTCCATTGTTGAAAAATAACAAAACAGAACTCCTAAAACTGCAAAAATTTGACGCCATTCCTTTTTCTTTTAAATTTCCAGAAGAAGAAGAAGAGTCTTCTTCAGAGGTTTTTGTGTCATTTCTTTCTGTAGTTCTTGGTGCAGCGCCACCACAGGCGAGTGGAGGAACAGGTTGGTTCGAGCTGGTTGGCTCGACTGCACAGTGCAGTGTGAATTAGGGGTGTAACGGTACGCTAAAAATCACATTTCGGTTCGGTTCAGTTTCAAGGAGGGTTCAGTTCAGTTCAGTTCATTTTCGGTACAAAAAAGGCCAAAATGAAGACTTACAAAATGTTTATTTTGAAAATATGCCAAGTAAACAATACGTTTGTATAAAAATAAATAAAAGCGACCCATTTGGATGATATTTTAAATAAAAGGCACTCTTTACAATAAATAAACTATCCTAACAATAATAAAAATCTTAATAAATACAACAACAGCCAGAACCAAAACAGTAAGCATCAACAGACCGTTTACAATATAACTAATCAAGTTTTAAGTTTTTGGCCCAAAAGACAAACTTGTCCACATTTTCTGCCAAAAGTTGCAGTGAATATCTCCAGCGGTGGAGAAAACCGCTCACTAGCAACAGTAGCAGAAATAGAGAGGTAACACTTTGCTAATTTTACAGTGTGGCTGTATTTGGCCTCATTACTCACAACCTCTTGGACCTGCTCCCACAGGTGGGACCGGTCACTGGAAAAGTTCAGAGTTCACTCATCACAGACTTCTTAGCTGGAGGTGATCTCTGGTAGATTTCCCTAAGAGGAAGAAAACTCTGCTGCTAGCTCTGTCCCAGACTGGAAATAAACACAGAGTTAATAAAAAAAAAAGAGTTAATAAAATTATAATAAAAAAAAAGTTAATTAGATAATAATAATAATAATAATAATAATAATAATAATAATAATAATAATAATAATAATAATAATAATAATAATAATAATAATAATAATAATAATA